CACACACACACACACACACACACACACACACACACACACACACACACACACGCATTATATTCGATATAAAATTATATATGTGGGTGTGTGGGTGTGTATCTACAATATATTACCCATAAATAATGTAACATTATATTATTTACAAAAAAATATATATATATTGAAGAAGTAAATATTTTAATAACGGATTGGCACACACAGAAGCGCTACATACGTATTTCTTACTCAGCAACGCTCCTGAGGCAGAGCGATTGGCAGCTCGGCCGCTGAGGCGCGAGTGAGAGGGGTGTATATCAGTTGGACACGGGGCAATTGGACACAGTCCAATCACAAGTCGCTGTTCCAAGGGACCCTACAAATGTCTCTAATCACACGGCTGTGATTGGCTGTGTCCAAATGCACCGTGTCCAAGTGCACCGCTCCCGAGTGAGAGTGGGGCAGCGGTGGGCGTCGCGTCTGAAATCAGCCTGAAATGTGACAAAATTCCGAGACCTGCCGTAAGAAGTTGACCAATCAATTATAAGAAAAATAATTTCTTACGACTTAGAGATTAAAGCTTAAATTTTATGGCTTAAGTTTTCATTGTAGATCACGCTTTTGAGGCTTTCTACAATAAGCAATCAATTTTAAGTCGCAATAAAATTGACCAGTTACAGTGGATTATTCTTCTAATAGTCGACTATGATTGGTCAACTTTATTATGACTTAAGATTTATTGCTTATTGTAGAATGGGCTTTACGGAAAGCAGCACATTAATTGTTTATCATGTGCAAACTTTCATCACGTGGCAAGCGTTGCCGCGTTCTGTGTACAGAAGCCATAGTAAAAAGTAACGATATAAGTAACGATGAATTTCGTTACTCGTTACTAAAGAAAATGTAACGCCGTTACTTTTTCGTTACTGATACAAAAAAGTAACGGCGTTACCAAATCGTCACCAAAAAAAAGTAACAAAATAGTAACGTTGTTACAAGTAACGCGTTACTTCCCAACCCTGTGATCAGGTATATATATAATTATTTATGTAGTATATTTTGCATGTGTATGTGTGCATTCTGCGCTTATATTTATTTTTTATATTTAAATAGTATATTTAGTATTTTTAGTAATTTATAGTATTTTTTATATACGAATGTGTGGTAATTTCTGTTTTGTTTTATATGACATTCAAATAGTTTAATTTAAGGTAGAAATATTAATTATTTTAATTATTATATATGTTAATATTTTTACATATTTATCTATTTCTACATACTATTTCTACATTATCTATTATATCATGTTTATTATATGATTATATTTACATATAATCTTTAAAACAATTTAAAAAACTTCTTTTATATTTATTTTTAAATTTCGTTACTTTTCTTATTATATATATCAGAAAAAGATTTATTTATGACTTTTTAAAATATATACTATCATATATTTGTAATTCTTTATAGAAATTTTTGCAATGTAAACGTTGGAGAAAGAGAATTGAAAGGAGGGCTATAACAATTAAAACTTGAAGAACAGCAAAATTATACCTTTAACAGAATCTCTACATTACTAGAAAAAAAGAATTTAAAATTTAAAAATTTTAGTAGCAGTAGTAATATCAATGATAGCTTTTCCACAGATATTTGTGAAATATCAGATCAAATAAAAATGTTTGCAGAGGAAGAAAATAATGCATCAAATGAATTAATTGACTCAAATCATAATTCTGACATTGAATTTGAGATTAGTAATCAAGAAGATATTGTTTGTAACGAGGATGCAAATATGAATTTAGACACGAATACTAACGATAGTGATCAGGAAGATATGGTTTCTAACGAGAATGCAAATACGGACTTAGACACGAATACTGATGACAGCGAAATGAACTTACTCATGCAATTTTTGATAATGATGAACAAAAAGAAAGATATGTTACATTAAGTTTATATGAATGGGCGTCGTCAGGTGGAATTCTTTCTATGAGTAAAATAGATGAACTTCTTACATGGCTTCATCCAATATTTCCGAATTTGCCTAAAAGTTATAAACTTCCCTTGCTGGGAACATCTGATAATATAAATATTATTAACTTTCGGAATGGAAGGCAATTTTGGTATAGAGGAATAAAAAACAATTTGGACGGATTTACTTTAGAAGAATACTTATAAATAAAAGGAAAGATTGAAATAGATATCAATACTAATGGACTTCCTCTCTTTCGAAGTTCTAAAAAAAAATTTTGGCCAATTTTAGGACGTCTGGTAGGAACTAAAAATGAACCATTTGTTATTGCTATTTATTTTGGAAAGTCTGATCCTAATGGCGTTGAAGAATTCCTACAAGAGTTCGTGAATGAAGCTGAAAATCTAATCAACAATGGCTATGTACGAAATCAAAGAACTTATGATTTTTTTATTAGACATTATATTCTTGAGGCTCCAGCTCGAGAGCTCATGAAATGTTGCATAGGTCATAATGCATATGCTTCTTGTGGAAAATGTACAGTATGGGGAGAACGATCGGCTAATAAACAGACATATATTGATCTTGATGCTCCTTTGAGAACTGACGAAACTTTCAAAAATCAAACACATCTTCATCATCACAAAGGTATGTCACCTCTTCTCAGACTGAATACTCAAATGGTTTCTCAATTTCGTTTAGAATCCATGCATTTAGTATACGAGGGTGTATTTATGAGATTGTTGGAAGTATGGCTACGATGAATAGGCCCGTGGAAATTGCATTGGACTATTGTGAAACAAATATCTGATATATTAATCCAAATAGCTCCTTCTTGCCCTCAAGATTTTGTTCGAAAACCTAGATCTTTAGATGATTTAGCATTTTATAAGGTAACGGAATTCCGTCGTTTATGTTTATACGATGGTATTGTGGTGTTTGATCAGCATCCTAATATAAATGTTTATAGGCATTTCTTATTATTACACTATGGAATTTATATTCTTGCAAATGCTACTTTTCATAAAGTTATGAATAACTATGCAAATATTTTGCTCAGAACTTTTATTAAACATTCTGTCACAATTTTTGGGAAAATGTTTGTAGTATATAATGTTCATTCTCTTTGTCATTTAGCACAAGAATGTAATGATTACGGCCCTTTAGAATCATTTAGTGCTTTTTGTTATGAAAATAAATTAAAAAAATTAAAAGTTTTCTCAAGTCAGGTTTTAAACCTCTTCAGCAGGCAGTTAAGCGTGAACAAGGAATTAAAAGGATTGTAATTATGAAATCTGAAATTAACGAAGTTGTTTTTTTCAAAAAAAACATAGAGATATTAATGAAATAATTGATGGCACTCAATTTAAAAAAAATTTCAGTAAATAATATAATTTTGGAAGTAAATGATAAAGATTCATGTTTCAAAACAAGTGAAGGTCAAATTGTAATTCTAAAAAACATAATTTTTAGATAGGATGATATAATTTTTATAAGTAATATTTATAAGTAATATTTATAAGTAATATTTTTAAAAATGTTGAAGATTTTTATACATATCCTCTGAATTCGTTAGAATTTAGCATGGTTAAAGTATCTGAATTGAGTAATGATAAATTAATATTTTCTTTAAAAGATATTGTTGTTAAATGTTATCTCTTTGAAAGATGAATATATTTGCATACCCCTGCTTCATTCAATGCCTTTCTACAAATAGAATGTCATATTTGATTGATACAATTTTTAAGTGTTACAAATATTTTATTCTCCTTTGTCTTAATTATATCATCTCTTATAAAATATTATTTCTTTTTTATATATATTTTATATCTAGTTTATATTAATTTTTATTGTAAAATTACTACTTTTTTCAGTTTGTCGTTGTAAAATTTATACATGAAGATGACATTGGTGATGATGAAGACGATGCACTTTTTGAAGTCGGTCTTACTAAATGGTTAAGAAAATTAGATGATAAAATAAAAACTATTTCTTGGCCTCCTAAATCTATGCAAAGCATTTCACTGAAAAAGGAAGTAGATTCGTCTCCTTCATGGGCAAAATATAATGTTGTTGTTTTAAGATTTTATAGTATATTGCTTTTTTTGTACATATACATTTATACATTTTTTTAATTTTATTTTGAATCTAAATTGTTCTATTTCTTTTTTTAATTAGATACGCTTTTGGCTGCACGCAATGGACGAAATGGTGTTCTCATGTCTTCCAACTATGAAACGGATGTTGAATTTGGTCATGGCAAACGAAAAAAAATTGAACGACAATCTTTTTCATTCGATTTTTCTCATACACAAACAACGCAAACAATTACACTATTCAAAGTGATAGTTCAAATTCTAATCCAGATGATCTTGGGACTTCGCAATTTGCAAGTAAAACGAATGTTGCTGCTCCTCCACTTGTCTGTTATAAACCTCAGACTAATAAAACTGAGCCTCAGAAAATTACTAGGCATGGCAAAAATAATATAAAAATTAATATATTAGAAAAAAAGCAATAAAAAAAATCATTAATATCGTCCCTTCAAAATAAAAAATCTAGAACAGAGATCTTACTTGCAAAGATTAATGAAGCAAAACAAAATTCCGTTAGAGTAAATAGATCAGAAATTATAGAAGCTGCAAGACAAAGGCAGCAAAAATGTAATATAAGGAAACAATTTGAATCATCCTCTGCATCATCTCAACATGATGACATGATGTCTCAGAAATATGAGTCACCTGATTCAGAATTGAAAATGTATTTTTCAACAAAATGTGATGCAGAAAAAAATGTTAATAGTAATTTGCAGCTCAATACTTCAAAGTGCAACTTTGATTTTAAAAAAATCAAAGTTCCTCAATGTCATCGGATAATGATATTTTGTATCCTAAAATGTGTACGAGACTAGAGACAGTAAATAAGTCAAAGGAAAATAGTTTTGCTTGTTCTTCTAATGCTGAATCGATTGAAAATTTATCCTTTGTAATCCATTCTCAATCTGATTGTGAGCTAAGTCAGCCTAATATTGATGATTCTTACCAAATAAAAGAATTACGTACACCCCTGTCAGCACGTCAATCAGGTCCAATTAACTTTATCAGGTATAATTAACTTTACATTATAACTTTTCACTTTTTTATTATTAGTTTTTACGTTTTTGTTATTTATTATTATTATTTATTATATTTTTTATTTATTATATTTATATTAAATTATAATATTAATTTATATTATATTTTTCTTAGGTAATGTGTCACAGACTTTATATGAAGTCAAAGATTTTCAAAAAAAGACATACATTCAGAACCAAGAAATTAGTAGTAAATTAGACATAGTTATTATGAATGTAACTAGATTAAATCATTTTCTTCTTCCCAATGAAACATGAATAATAAGACCCATAGATCTCCCTTCACTTCCACTAATGACTGAGGAAGAACTACAAAAATTTGAAACATTTTTATCTACAAATGATAACATAACGACAACTGTGAGTTACTATATTTATTTTTTTTCTTAATTGTTTTTGATTTTTTAAGTAATACTTTTTATTTGATATTTTATAGATTTGTTATATGAATCAAATTATTGGCTCTAAAGATAATGTGAAAGAAGCAACATATAAAATGCTAAAGAAGCTTATTTTAAACACATTGGCAACACAGTTTAACTTAAAAGGTGGTGGCAATCCGTCCAAAAAATCTCTTGAAAAGTTGAGTTTGTATGAAATTGTTGAAGGTAAAGAATTATTTGAAATTAACTTAAATATTATTATTAATCGATATTTTTATATTTATCATGAAATTTCAGTCTTTTTTTAATTATTGTTATTTGTTAAATTATTTCCTCTGATAACTAAACTTTTTTTATTTAAGTAGGCTCTTTTATTAAATCCACATATATATGGAAGATAGATTTTTGAACTGTTGCAGTTGTGCAAAAATATCTTTTTATTACAAAATTTTTGAGTCATTAAAGATTTAAATAAATAATCTTTTTTTGATTAAACAGAAAAAAATTCGGTGAAAACAATATGTGAAGTGAGATATTATGTCGAACCTAAAACTTTCGTTTTTGTCGAGCGAAAGAATTGTCATGAATAGTTTACATAGGAAAACATTTATTGTTGTTTAATTAATTTAATTTAATTTAATAACTTTGCATTAGAAATTATTGATAAAAAATAAAAATTTCTTTAGTAGAAAAATTAAAATTTATTTTGTACTAATAATTGCACATAGCAAGTTCATGGAGCCCATCTTCCTTACATTATGTGAATCTAATTCATATTGCTTGTATTATTTTTTATCTATATTTGTTTTTCATTTTATCAAATATAATATAATTTTTTTCTTCTTAGTTTTAAATTAGTTTTTAAATCTTTTTTCTTTTTGCATTATTTTGATTTATACAGTCGATTTTTATACAACTTTCTTTTTAGAACAAAACATAATAAAACATGAAATATGTTGCATTTTCAGGTGCCATTTTAAACAAAAACACACAGGCAGAATTAATAGAGATTGCTGCAGCAACTTCGTCATGGTTGAAGCAAGCTCCTTGACGTCGGCAGAACGATGGAACAATGGGCAAGAGAATAAAGTAATAATATATGTGATATTTTGTTTATAATTAGTTATTGCTGTGCAATACAAAAGATAAGATATTTTATAAAATTAAAAAGATTATTTTTTTATATTGTTTCTGATAACCGCAATAAATGCGTGATATTTAGTTTTTATTTTAGTTTTATGCTTAAAAAAATAATATACATATATGCAACATATGCGTGCGTTTGTAGTATATTTACATTTTTTTCTATTATTACATAAATATTTTAATGTAATTATTTTTTTCCAAGATAAAATAAGTATTGCACTTATGTACATTTATATATTTATATACTTATTGGCAATTTTTTATAATTTGTAATACAGGTAAATGTC